ACACGCACACACACACACACTCACACTCCCTCTCACACACACGCACACACACACACACTCACACACACAGAGGAGAAATCACTCAGAAAACACAGATAATCATGGCAGCACCCCAGGAAACGTTCTGGAAACGTTATGAAGAAACATTCTTCCAGTAATGATAATAGTCTATAGTACGCTATCAAAACATTAGCACAAAAACTATTTACTTATCATAATGTTTTCTGAAACATGTTAGTTGGACGTTCATCTAACGTTTTTTTAAGCATTACTACTTACTACTCAATTCAGATGGTTCAGAGAAAACCCATAATATCTGTAAAAGTATAAAATTGAACATCGACCCCTTGATGTTTTCTCTAACGTTCACATAACCAAGAATAAACATTTTTAAAACAATTTTAAAAACTGGACGTTTCGAAAGTTCTGAGAAGTAACGTTTTCATAAATTAATGGGGAATGTTCTAAGAACAGATTTTTATGGGATTCTTTGAAGTACCATGTAATTAATATAGTATTTGAATATGGTAATTCAGTATGGTATTATCTTGTGATATCTTGTTGCTACAATAATCAGGACTGGGTTGGTCCAAAGCTGTTACTTGGCAACCATACACAAATACTGATGAATGTTGATGAGACTGATGAATATTACTGAACGAAATGTTTTTATTAAAATTAATCAATTATTAAATGTAGCTATTAAGGTTTTAATAAAGCCATGAGACACTCGAGGACGTACAACACAAAGCAGAGTAAGAAAATCACTTATTGCTTTAAATCTTTGATGCTTAATTCTTCAGAACTTTCTACAGGCTGCTGCTGGAGCTGATCAATCACTGCTGATTTACATCTGCACGCGTCCGATCAGAGCCATCGATGAACATCAGGCTTGATGAAGAGCAGCACAGCTGGGATGTAAATCAGAGCTGATGTACATATGCATACAGTACATAGTCACTGAGTGAGCCATGCTGCCTCCTACAGGCCACCGGAGGAACTGACGCACAAATACAATGGACCTCCACGTACAGTCACATTACTCCAGCAGCATATGCATGGAAAACGAAGTTTCGAAGGTTATAAACTGATATGCAATCACTTGCGGTGATGGTTTGGGTTCAAACAGAGTTTTAATTTCAAAAGCACAACCAATATATTAAAAATCACATCACACTCAAGTAATACGATCACCGAATCCGCGCAAAAATGTCAATATTAATATTAAATCTCATGCAAAATTAATGCAATTACCTTGAATAACAACTAGTCATTATTTCATATAAATAGCAATAGAAAAAAAAATAAAACCCTACTCAAAGTGGCACACATTACGCATCACACATATCGATTTAAACCTCACTAATGTCCCTGTTACACACAGGAAAATCTATTGTTCAAACAGCTAAAACGACCCCTTTAAAGCTCCGTTTTACGTCCCTTCGGGCTACAAGAGAACCAAATCGGAGTTACATTGGAACTGATGTGGGCTTGTGTTGCATCCAAAATATGTTCAACGGGCTCTGAATCTTTAAACAGACTATTTGCCACCATATCAAGCAAACACAATTAGATCTTATTTAAGGACTCCGCTCCTGAACAGCACGAGAATGCACGACATGTCAATGCACTAGAAGCGAATGCAATGCACACGCGTGCGATGTATTACTTATGCACGTGCATATCAGCATTATGAGGTGTGATTGACAGGTGCCGCCTCAGAATAAACGCCAGAGAAATCCACACAATGCACAAATGTTCCGAAGCTTGTGAAAACTTCAGTGAAGCAGCGCAGTGTCTGTGGTTTGTTCGAGAGAGCCACCTTACAGCCATTAATAAATCAATCCAACGAACTAATGCGTTTCATTAGACAGAAATCCATAAAGAGTAACGCATCTGAGGTCACATTCCCACACACACTCTTAAATGCTTCGCCAAAACATATTTCTCTAGAATATTAAAGTTTCTGCGTTTGGGTTTCTAAAGAACTACGAGAAATCATTTGAAGAGCGCAGGCAGAGAGATCTGGACACAAACAGGTGCTTTTCACTGAAGTCCGTTTATAAGATCCAAACACTTCTCAAAGCTGCGGGTTTGCGGTGATGTTTCTAAATCAGAACACGGAACCCGTCATTACCGGCCTGTCATCAGCGTTCCTCCGCTGCCCATCAAACTTTACGCGAGATTCCGAAACAAGCGCGGAATCGCTCGCGCGGCGTGCCGGACCGAGACGCGCAAAGTCGGCAACGCCAAGTTTAAGGGAGACCTCGCGATGCCCGAAGCCCAACTCCTGCCAGAGGCGAATCCGAGGGAAACCAGCGCGAGCTCTTACCTTTGAACACCTGCGCTCGCGCGGACACCAGGACGCCGATCGCGGTGAAGAGGCACGCGAAAAGTTTGTCCATCCTGGAGGTGTCGGTTCCGTGAAGCCCGGACTGGCCGCGGGCCGAACTCTGAGCAGGTGCGTCTTTTTTGGGAGGAGGCTGTCGGTCGGTTTCAGGCTCTAGTGGAAGTGTTTCTCCGGCTCTCCCGGAGCCGCGGCGGGCGTGAGTGAGTGTGAGGTGTAGATTACCGGGCGGGCGGGAGCTGTGTTCTCCGGTAGAGGGTGTGCGGGAGCTTTGACTGCTCCTCTGGTGTCGTGCTTCTTCTCCTCCCACTGAGAGCGACATACAGCTGGACTCTCGAGTCCGCGTTCATTCACAGCCCGAATTACTGCGAGACTGAGAACTTTACACACGCGCTGAGATCCACTTCAGTTCATCTGCTGTTTCAAAGCCGCTATCTATCTATCTATCTATCTCTCTATCTATCTCTGTATGCATATCGCTCTGTTTATATATCCGTCTCTCTCTATCTATCTATCTCTCTATCTATCTCTGTATGCATATCGCTCTGTTTATCTATCCGTCTATCTTTCTATCTATCTATAGACTGATGGTCAGTCCCTTCTGTCATTGTCCATCCATCTGTAACCCCCACCAGGTCCTACTACTCGCACCCTCTCCGTGCGGGACTCGAACCCGGGTCGCCGACATGGGAGGCAGGCACACTAACAAGGAGGCTAAAGACCACAGCCTAGTGCGCCTCTTGAGCAATTCAGTTATAAGAGCATGATGCTTTAATATGTTGGCCTGCTCTTCTCTGGCTGAATACAGTGTCGATGCATGTTTCTAAGATTAGTACGAGTCGTATAACTAATCATTAGCCTGAACCTTAAGACCGTGAGCATGCTGTGTACATGCGTTCATGCTGAGCTCCAGAGCACAACTCTCCAGTAATTAGTCAACTCGTGTTAAAGACTCGTGTTACCAGACAGCTTGAGGGTTTGAAGGAACGGCACATAATGGGTGGCAGGAGACAAACTCAGTGCTGGACTGAAATCATACACAAACAATGTCGCTCTATAAGTGAATCATATTTTAAGAAACAATAGAGATCATTTTTTAATTTTTTAATTTGTACATTTTTAAATTTTATTTTATTTTATTTTATTTTATTTAGGTTTGTATACAATGCCACTATTGTTCCTAATAATTAGTTCTTACTGTAGACCAAAACCAATAAAAGACAAATACCAATAAAAAAGAGAACAGTAATGCAATGATATTCAGACATTTATCATTTTCCTCCATATTGCTATTATTTATTTATTTATTGTCTTTTTTTATTATTTAAATTTTTATGGTTTTTATGCAATACCGCTGTTGTTCTTAATTGCTGTAGAGTTAATTGCTGTTAAAATACAGAGAGAAAAAAGAAAGAAAACAGTAATGCAATGACTTTCAGGCATTTTAAATTTTCCTTCATAGTGCTATAATTAACATATTGCACATTTTTTTATTTTAATATATTTTATTTGATATTATTTTATATTTTATTTTCTTTTTAATTGTTGTTAAAATGCCAATATAAAAAAAGAGAACAGTAATGCTTTTAAATGCAGCATTATAATAAATGCAGTAATGCATTTATTTATTTATTTATTTTAATTTTATCCCCTCGAGTTAAACAGTTGAGTTTTACCGTTTTCGAATCCATTCAGCTGATCTCCGGGTCTGGCGGTAGCACTTTTAGCTTAGCTTAGCATAGATCATTGAATCTGATTAGACCGTTAGCATCTCGCTCAAAAATGACCAAAGAGTTTCTATATTTTTCCTATTTAAAGCTGGACTCTTCTGTAGTTACATCGTGTACTAAGGCCGATGGAAAATGAAAAGTTGTGATTTTCTAGGCCGATATGGCTAGGAACTATACTCTCATTCCGGCGTAATAATCAAGGAACTTTGCTGCCGTACCATGGGTGCAGCAGGCGCAATGATATTACGCAGCGCCTGAAAATAGTCCTCAGCACGCTCCCTGTGCAAGCAGGTGGTCACGTTGTTATGTTGGCGGAAGTTAGCCTATTTTCAGGCGCTGCGTAATATCATTATTTATTTTGTAGATAGTCTTATTTTTTAGTTTTAGTTAATTAATTAATAACCCTGGTTTCAAACTAGAAAAAATATCTGAGAAGAAAAATAAGTTAATTTTTTCTAACTGCACTGACGGATATTTTTCCTGTTTTAAGCATAAATTCACTTGATTTGAACACATTTTTCAGAAATACCTCAAATCATTGTGAATCTCAAGTAAATGTTTAAATCTTGATTTAATAATGTGTAGATATTTGTACTGGACAACAGAGGAAGAGCATCTGTTTCTCATGCAGAAATCCTGTAGTTCAGTGCCTGGGGCGCCTGATATCTTTATGATTTTGTGTTTGTGTGTTCAGTGGCTTGCTTCATAATGTGTTTGTGACAGACGAGGTCAGTCCTTCACACAGCAGCTTAAAGACGACAGAAATAACTTGAGCTGCTGCAGCTGATCTTCTGTTTTTATCATGCGTTCGAAGCCGATTGAGACCTTATCATAACCTGCCCGAATCAAGAGCGCATATTAAAGTCACAATAAAAACCAAGGCTGTAACTCACGATTGTCTTTTTATGGTCTCGTCTCACGGCAGTAAATGTGAAGATCTTATAAATCCCCAGAAGAACATTTTATTGCTCAGGTTGCTCTCTCATAGCTCCAGAAACACATTTCCCAGTAATATCTCATTAAAATATCAACGGTGTCAACATTTAAGAATATTTTTGGAGCTCGGTCAGTTTATGTAATCAGCTTACATTTTATCACAACTTTGCATGAGATGGGACTGAGAGAGTAAAGAAATTAAGAGTTATTTAATTAAATTAAGTGTCATTAAAACATCTATTTGTTCAAAAATTGCTTCAAATTATTAAATATTTGTATGCAAAAGCTTTAAAAAGTGTTTACGATCAGTCACAAAAAAAAAGGTCTGGGTTAGAAACATTTTCATTTCACAATTTTAATCCTGTTTCTATCTAGAGGAAATAATAAAATTATTAAGAGATTTAATTAGTGATTTGTCTTTGCAATGGAAGTATGTCAGTGGTAAAGTTCAGTTTACTTTCATTATATAATTAAGTTTTTATTTAGATGTTTTTCTCATCCGTCAGTAACTCATTTGACGTGAGATAATTGGCAAACCTGTAGAAAAGGATTAATTTTAGAATAACTCATCATATAAGATACAAAGTTTAGTTTCAGATTCAAATATTAACTTGCAAAACCCTATTAAGGTGTCTTGTTATTATTATTATTTTATTTAACGTTTGCATGGCAAAAATGCAACATAATTTGCAATCATATTAGTTTTTTTATGTCAACACAATACTTCGTTGCAAAAAAAAAAACAGTTTTACTCAGTATTTTTGTCTTGTTTTCCAGAAAAGATATTTAAACATTCTCAGATCAAGATACATTTACTTGAGAAATAAAGTAACATAATACGTTAAGCCTTGTTTTCTGAAAAATGGTTTAAAATTAAGCAAATTAAAACAAGCAAAATAAATGGGTGGTAAGAAAAATAATCTGGTTTTCCCTCAGAATTCAGGTTTATTGGCAATTTTTTACTTTCTTGCTTTAAGAATAAACTCACATGATTTTGAAACCTTTTTCAGAAAACAGATGCTTCATACTGAGCAGGATTTGCTTGAAACAATTTTAACTCAGAAATTGGTAGTAAATTTCACAAAGAAATGTTGTAGTAGAAAGTACTCCAGTAATCTTTGTTTTAGTCTGTCGTACTGTATAAAGTAAGATGCCTCTTTGTACAGTCTCACCAATGAGATTATGATGGAAAATATGCTTAACTGTACTTTCAGTCATGAGTTGCGATACCGAACAGGACCACATGGTGATGCCAAAAAACCCTAAACCAACCGCCTGCTGACTGCATATATCTAACTACAGTACACGGATCCATTCAGAATAACTAAACACAGCAAGCAACATACACATGACAAATCAAAACATTATCGCGAGTGTGTGTGGAAACAACGTGAATGTACGGAAATGTCTGTGCCTGTGCATAAATACAATGTGCGATCAGTGCGTCAAGAGCACTCATACTCGCATTATTATAACGGACTCACGCGTGCTTACTGTACCGAGTCCTGTACGCCACCGCAATCGTCTCGTCTTTACCTTGATTGCAGTCTTCATCCATCAAAACTTTACTAGCGAGACTAGTTATCCAGTCGAGAAAACGTAGTTTGCGTCTCATCTGGCCATACAGCGGTGGGACGTGTTGACAATCCGTTCAGTCTGTACGTCACACACAGGCTAGCGCACGTGACTTTTAATCTGATTAATCACATCCTTTTTCTGTGATTAATCGCGATTAATCGCACACTTCATGAAATTAAGCATAGACCATTTATCTTGTTACAAATGGTTATTTTGTCATCATTTGCTATATTCAGCAAAGTAAACCAAAAGATTGAAGGGTGATTCTCAAAAATCAGTATTTTCTGCAAGCTTTTATGTAGATGTCTTTCCAAAAAAGGACTCCAAAACTCCAAAAGGAGACTCCAAAAGGACACCAAAGAACCAAATGATATAAGGAGCCCATATAAGCACATATGAAAGAAAAAAAAAATCAGAATTTTATAGTATGTGTTACTGTACCGAGTCCTGTACGCCACCGCAATCGTCTCGTCTTTACCTTGATTGCAGTCTTCATCCATCAAAACTTTACTAGCGAGACTGGTTATCCAGTCGAGAAACCGTAGTTTGCATCTCATCTGGCCATACAGCGGTGGGATGTGTTGACAATCCGTTCAGTCTGTACTTCACACAGCGCACGTGACGTGTGAGAGCTCGCGCTCTTCAGAAACAATCACAGAATATGTAAGAGCTCGTGTTTAAAAGCCAAACACTGGAATGAATAATTCACTGAAAACGCTCTCTGCAATCTCTGATGTAATCAGCCTAGTTTCCTTTATATTAGCGCTGTTTTGGACGGATTGTTTGAACGCATTCGCTTCCTGGATCATTGGACTGAAAACTTTCCCGGAGTTTAGCAGCTTAAAATGATCTGATCGCAAGCAGAGAAGCAACAGTAATTTGGTGCACAGGAGGCCTTTGATAAATTAAAGTCCCGGTTTATCTCTGCTCCTGTCTTGTCTATTCCAGACCCTGAACGTCAATTCATTGTTGAGGTGGATGCCTCCGATGTCGGAGTAGGCGCGGTCCTATCACAGCGGTCACCCCAGGATGGGAAGGTGCACCCCTGTGCCTTCCTCTCCCACCGCCTGAGTCCCCCAGAATGGAATTACGACATAGGTAATCGGGAGTTGTTGGCGGTCAGGCTGGC